ACGAAATACCTAATCTATGTTATGCTGACTAACAACTTTGATGTCTAAAAAAGATATCTATTTTTTATTTCTCTTTATTAATGACCAAATATTCAGCGGTGAACATAGATTTTTACTAATAAGAACCGGACCTAACTAAATTTTTTTCAATTATTATTAATCCACAAAAAAAGATAGAAAATTTAATAAAAGCACATTTTTTCTCTAAAAAAATTTGAGAAGTAACATTTTCTTTTAATCAGAACTGCAGAGATAAGGGAACTCTTCCCAATGTACACAACACATATATACCTTCTGACCATGATCCATATACTAGACCAACCTTAATTTTAGAAATAATTGGTAAAAAATTCATTTATAAATCTATAAAAATTGTTACCCTCATATCCTCACTATTTTAATTGGATCAAGCACCTCGTAAATTTATAAAATGTTGTAATTATATGATCAACTTTAAGTATTATTACGTACTAAAAAGAGACTTCAAGTATTATTACCATCAAACTAAAATTTATTACAAAATTATTTTTATTAAACTGAGCTATCAGCTCAGCATGGATCTTAAAACAAAAGTTTTCGTGATCAGTATAATAGCTTTCAAAATCTATAGAAGTGAAACAAAATTAGTTAGATACAATTCTTATCCGTACGTTATGTAATATTTAAAATTTAAATTATAACAATTTTATAAGGTTTAGGTGAAAGATATAATTGCAACAATCTCTATATTTGAATGAGTATTTTTTCTACATCTTTTCCTAATTCTTACCATGTTATTTCACGTGTCAAAAAATAAAGCATTAATATTTTTTTTTCTTTGGTAAAAATATAGCATCAACACATAGACTTACGGTCTATTTGGACTTAGCTCAGTAGTTAAGATACTTTACTTATTCTTTTTAGAATTTGGAAGTTTAATTATTCATTTCATATTTATTGTATTATAAAAATATTTATATTAATATTTGAATATAAATTTAATTTGTTTAAATATTTTGTTATTGTCTATAAACTTTCATAAATTATTAGTGTCAATCTTTTTATATTATATTTGATAAAAATATTTTCCATCTTCAATTAGAAGAGTCTTTTTGTTGTATGTCAGCAGATTTTGTATGGATCAAAAATCTCCCCCAAATCTGAGCCGAATTGAGCCTCCCTAGGAAGGAAAATGAAAAGACAAGTGGCCATAATTGTAAATATACATTCCTTAATTTTTATGAAAATAAATTTTTTTTTTGGGGAAAACAATTTTTCAAATGTGAAGTCAATTGAGCAAACCCAAAAACTTTTTTGGATCAAAATGGTCAATTTTCCAGTTATAAGGCTACACATCTTAAAATGTAATTTGTATATCTCATAATTATTTACTATTTTTTCTTTAGAAACCCTAATTCTTTGGCACAACTGTGAACCCTATTTCTTTGGTACATCTTTTCCATCTTTTCTCGAAATTCAGTATCTTTTTTTGCCTAATTTTGTGGCGCAAAGAAAACCGAATTCTGCTCCAAAGAAACTGCCTGCAGATTTGGTGGCTACGTGTTATTGATTATAAATGATGAATCAGGTTTTGAAGTTGTGGCCGCCGCCGAGTCTTCTTCCCTTCTCAAGCTTTTCAAAACCAACTCAGAGGTAATGAAATGCAGTCCAAGATTCCTTTTGTGTTATATTTAGGTTATCAATTAACAAAATGAGTAATGGGTTTTAATTATTTTGAAGCTAAGTGCACAATTGAGTCATGATGGGCTATGATTACCATTCACGTGGGAGGTGTCGTTGTCAACTATGCCATGCAGAGCGTTTCCATCGTCACTCATCCTTGTTAATAACCCAATTAATGAGATTATTATCTTTGTTTGAGACATATATTCTAAATCATTATTGTTATTTCTTTATTAACATGCAATTAAAAAAGTCTCATATTAACAAGTTTAATTAAGTATTCATTTATTTGAGATTTTTGTTTTTATTTTTAGACTTTTAGGTAGATATATACTCCATGTTTTTTTTTATTGATTTAGAAGTAGGGTTTGATTTTTGTTGCATTGCGGGTAATTGAAAATAATTATAAAAAAAAGACTTTATATAATTGAATTTGAATAATGAATGTGTAATTACATGAATATATAATTATGAAAATATTGTAGTATGGATTTGATTAACCTTTTTGAATATATTGGAACATACAAGCCAATTGTTACATATCAACCAAAACGTTAACCAACTTATTTGGTCGGTTAGTACCCCACGTCTCCTCTGTTTTACCAATCTCAAGATATAATGCCTCTTCCACAGCGTTTTCTGCTAGGTCAAGCCGTCAAAGGTGGTGTTGGGTTAGGGTTAGAGGCCAATAGTTTTTTTTTTTTTTTTCCTCCCAACTTTTTATAAACATTTTATCGGGCAAGAGATCTTTACCGGACTGATTCAGAAACCTGTATCAGAAAAAAACGTTGGCAAAGCTCATAATTCTTGTGGTGTTATAATTCTTGTGGTGTTAAAATTTCAAATTGAAAGTATTTAATCCCATAAAAATTTAAAGATAAAGTAGGAATAATAAATTGAATCTTTTAAAAACGCACCGATTGATTTGATACAATTGTAAAAGTACAACCTTAACTAAAATTTGGAGGGAAAAAAAACACAAAGTTTGTGAACCATTATATTTAACAGCCCCATCACCATATAGAGACATTATACATTATTAATTTTAATAATGCTTCCAAATTCCATGTGCAATGTATTAAATTAAAACAATAAAAAAGTACTAGAGTTGAATGGATACTAATGCCTCACTAGTAAACCAAAAAGTGGACAAAATAAAGCAAGAATTTATTTTTATTTTTATTTATTAAAAACATAAAGATTTATTCCCTTAACCACATAGATGGAATTTCTTGGTTTTTAACAAGGATTTGAGAATGCTTTTGAAAATGAGTTTTTTTTTTCATATATTTTTGTTTTCTATTTTATATAGAAAATTGATATCTACAAATCTTAAAAGTCTTTATAACAACTTAGTTTTATATGTATGTGTGTTTTTTTCCCCTTAATTTTCTAATTTCAAAATATAAAATAGTTTTATTTAGAATAAATTTGTTAACAATCAGTAATAAAAAAAAACTTTAATCTCTATCCAATCTTACTTTTTCTTTTTCTTTTTCTAAAAGAAAAACCCCGCCATTAATTTAATCTCCCTGCCTTTGGTTACTTTTTTAAGATTTATCTCTACCTGAACCAACATTTTATTTTTGATACAACATGTACTCGAATTGGCATATGAACTAACATTTGATGTTTGATAACTTATTATTATTATTATTATTATTATTATTATTATATTTTTTCTTTTTCTTTATTAGTTGTCAAATATTAAATGGTCTCATATATTTTTCCCATAAGAACAAGACTTATTTTTCTTAAAAATTATTATTAACTCACAAATTATTCAATTTATTTTTATTTTTCAAATAAACAAAGTAAATGATCCAACCATAATTAACCAACAATTTATTTATAAAAAACTCGATAATTAATATATATCTTCAATCCTAATTAACCAATTTATTTATACAAATGATCCAACAAGTTAACAACATTGGATTTTCCCCACCACACGTGTACAAAATTGTAGAGATAAGGGTACTATTCCCAATGTACACAAACACATACTTTGTGACCATGATCCATACTACTAACCTTATTTTTAGAAAGAAAAATGCAAAAAAAATCATTTATGAACTATAGAAACTGTTAAATAATAATAATAATAATAGTTGGTGACCTAGTATCATCCAATTAATACTAAGCATGAATCTTCTATTGACCATCGGTGTTACTAATTTATTTATATCAGATTGTATATTAATATTAATAGTTAAGTATAAATTTTATTTTGTTTACATGATTTGTTATTGATAAATTATTAATTTCAATCTTTATCACTAAATTTTTAATATTATATTTAATAAAAATTTTATGTTCCTCTCTTCTTTAATTTGGTACTAATGAAACGATATAATGTAATATGAAAAATTTAACAAGGATTTAAAATTAAGATTTTGTTAACTTGTCTGAGATGACACATCAAATATTATCTTTTGTATATTGAAAAATAGAAACTTGTACCAGTGTGGTGCTCGACCACATACACTCTGAAGCTTAAAGTCAATATTAAATCCAAATTATAAGCTTAATATGATAGGTATACTCCACCTTTTTATAAGAGGGGAGCATTGAGAATCGAAGTTGTCGTACCTATCATTTAACGTGTTTTCTAATAGTAAAATGATCCTTTCACCGAAAATGTCAACAGATTTCGTATCAGTCATAATCTTTCCGAGGTGGAAGGCGAGATTTTTAGAACATGAAATTTAAAATCTGCCATAGCCAATAGCGACGGGCAGTGGCCACACGTAGGATAAAAGGCTTTTTCCGGGATCGGACCCAGAGACCAGACTCAGAGAGATGTCGGTTGCTCAATGCACACTCAAATTAAAATTTAAAATATTAAAAAAAAAAATTCTTTCCTTTTTGCTTATTTTATTTTATGTTAGTGCCCCACATTTACGGTTGAAATAGTACAATAACATAGCAGCCAATGGGTCTGGAAAAAGTAATTTATATCGTACAAAATCAAATACACAAATTTTAAATTTTTTAAATTAATAGGAGACAGAACAAGCTTTATATAAACCAACCCCACTCTCTTTTCCTCTCAATTTATTGCTTCCTCCTCCAGCTTCTGCTTCATTTCCTTTCCCAGAAAGAAGCAGAAAGCAAACAGGT